ACTTTGACTTGAGCTTCTTTGAACATGATTTGATATTCGAGAATAGCGCCGTAGGTACTTCATGCTACTCTATTATCATAGCTTAAGGCATCCCTACATAGAGCACTAAGAACTGTTTAATCTTGTTAATATTTCATTAAAAAATTTCCTGTTGTCACTAATTCCATACTGTATAATATATTGATATAACTGTTTGTAATCTTATTGTCATTAATTGTTATATATATACTGGGTGAATACCCGTTAAATTACTAAAATAAAAAAATAAAAAAATAGCTGGTAGTTTTTCAGTTCCTGATAGATGTCCTGTTTGTGGAAATCGAACATGCGTTACAAGGTAGCAAGGAATCTCCTTTCCTCGAGTGAGTCACGACCAAACATTGTTGCAAACAAGAGGAAGGTTATCGTGTCAATCGGGGTGTCACTGGTGTCAGTGATACCATAGCTACGTATTTGTCACGGAAACGCCTTAGAGCCAATTTCTCCGCGGTAGTCATGAATTCCTGATGCAAGGTAAATTCACCGGTGTTATAGGTTGGGTTTCTCCGTTTCGCCTTCGATCCCATTACGTAACTGGGTTAATTATCCATCTTCGAGAATAAGTAGGACGTTTTATTCGAGAATATTTCATAGCCAGGGTAATTCGATTATCGTTGATCGACCGTAATCGCAGAAGTAAGGGTGGCCGGAGTCCAACGAATGCGGGGCCACGGGAAAGCATTGTTGCGTATTAGATTTCAGGTTGGGAATACTTTGATCGGACATTCTCAGACAAAGGAGCTGGAAACTTGACTGCAAAAGTCAAGCGTCTTACGCTACGAGATATCCAATGCTTCAACCGAAACTACCATTTATTATCTATGTTATTATACTTATCGAGATCCATCAACGATGTATAATACATCTTCGATACGAATAGGATCTCTTCACCTCAAAATCTTTCAAGCACACCGTACGCTCTTTGCACGATCCTGCGTATATTAACACCGTTTTATTAACACGTTGACTACCGCAGTGAAAAAGGTCGTACGTAGCCAGACACGCTTTATTATTTTTTTTTTTTTTTAAAGTTAATAGATGTTGTTGGTCCTGCTTTAAATTATACTGCGATATTAATTTCACAGATTAAATAATCCAATCTCTCTGCAATGTACGTATCACCCATATATGGGTGACGTGGCAATCGAAGTGTTAATCAGTGGATAATTTCGAACGTATTCGTCACCCTTTACAAACCACCTGTTCAATCGACCAGTTTTCCTCCACACAGGGCTGACCCAACGTTCTCAAAATTTTTCGGTTCTCACGTGCCGCGATCTCACAAATGCCACACGGGATCGAGCCACGGTTCAAAAGATTTGCGGGGGTGTCTGGATCGAGACGAATCGATGATCCCCTGGCCCGAGTCACCGTTACGTTCCGCAAGATGCAATTGTGCAAAAGGTAACGATCGGTTTTCTTTCCACGTGGAATGCCGCGGAGAAGGTGCATTCTGAGCGCACCCACCGCGCGCGCACGGCGCGAACCAACACGCGCGGCGGGACGCGTCGCGCGACGCCGAGAAGGACAATGATACCAGAGGGAACGATATATAGAAATCGCGGCGGCGAGTAGACGAATGATTGTGCGGATCGGGTGGTGAGATTGCCATTGCCGTCCCGCAGAAGAAGGAGCGTGGATGATCGCGATAAAGAAACAATCGAACCGCGTCCCGCCTACGAGTCCGCCAACATTCAATTGTGCCGTTTTCCCTCTCTTTTCCGTTGTGGCTCTCTCCGTCTCAGCTCGGACCCGTAGACACGTCGTGATTCTCTTAACTTTAACGGTACAACCCCCGCAGAGAGTGGCCCCGCGAGAGCTCATTGTTCCGTGACTATTCGAACGGTTTTTAATTTCGATAACGGGCAATACTGTTTTATCTTTTTTTTTTTTCTCTCTCAACGATGTGGCTCGGATGAACAGGTCCCTCTGATCGACGAAGACATTACCCAGGGGTTGAGACAAGGGAAAAGTGAAGCAGCAAGGAAGCAGAATCGACGAAACAGGAATGATCAAAGATTCACCGGGTTCACAGTTCAGATGTAATCTCTGACTAGGTGGATTGCTGTATTATGCAACTCTAGGATGATTGAGCGTGGTACAACATTGTCGTAGCAGCCGTGCTCCTCATTTCTCCGTCCACGGTAAATAGAATCACGAGGGAACAACAGAAACAGAATGATTCATATTTGGTTACGTCCCTCTGGAATAAATCTTTGGCTCCATACTTCCCTGAATACCTCGTGCCTTCAATTTCATCATACATTATATTCACTCGTTAGTTCGACAGTTCCAAGCAGTTCGTTTCTATTCAAAGTTTCATTTAATTCCCTCAATTACAAGACAAATGTCTGTAGATATTCATTGACCTTAATCTTCTACAAGCCACCTGTCTGTCACTCTATTTATACGAATCCTCCTGGTACTGGGACCCAAATCAAGTATTTAACCAATTTCCCTCGTGTCCTTGCCAAGGGAGGAGAGTCAGGGAAATAAACGCATAGATCGAAGTCGTGATCTCGCATTCCTTGTCCTCGCCCCGAAGGGATACCGATCAACTGGTATAAGTAACGTCGATGGTTAAACGAAGGGGAACGTGTTCCTCTCGGCCTTCCAGTTGTTCTTCATCATTATCATCATCCTCCTCGTCCCCGTCGTCTCACCCCCCCAACCCTCCCCTCCCCTACCCTACCCTCCGATGGCTCTTCCGCCGCGGCAGAGGACTTTCGAAATCGCCTAGTCGCGTTCGATTCGTGCCACTCGCTCGCTCCTCACGGAGCATCGGCGTTTTCCGCGACGTGCAAAGGTCACCGCAACAGGCCGCGGCGCAGCTACACTCGCGGGAAAGAAGACGCGAGTCACAGACGCGTACTTCTTGCGAGGGGAGGTCAGGTAAGGTAACTGGTAACCCGGCTCCTTCCCTCTTGCCTCTCACCTTCGCGTTTTATGTTGCAAACTGGTACTCGTCTTTAGTAATACCTGGATTGGTACCCATCTCTCAAGCTTCTAGAAAACTTTTAGTCACATTGGACGCGGATGGAAATGCATTTCTATCCCTGCACTTATTTTTTTTTTTTGTAACACGAAGAGATTGATGTTAGGAGGAATATCGATCCAGTGGTGAAAATGTCTTAAATATGACCAAGCATAAACGGTTCCGATATCAATGAACTGCACCGGGTTCCATCAGCTTGTTCCACGTCCTCGGACACTGTATATTTACAAGGAGCCATCGTATCAAGATGTGAACAGCGATAAGTCGATTCCCCCGGAGCTCATTGCCAGGCATTCGTGTGATGTACGAAGAAAAAAACTCGTGAAGCAACTTCTTTGTATCAGTCTCGCTAAAAAGAATGTTTTCTTCCGTTTCCTTAGTCCAGGTCTTCTTTACACTGGGACGGATCCAATGGCACTTGCTAACGAGAGATTCCTCTATTCGTGTATTCAACAGGGAACACCGAGGATCCTGCACAATTCGTGATGATACTCTCCCCCGGCGATCGTGCTTTCCGCCTATCGAGGCAACGATGGGTCGAGTTAGAGAGAAAGAAAAAAAGAGGATCGAAGAAGAAGAAACGGCGCGATATCGCGATACAATCATCGCTCGTTGAAACGACGATGAATCTGCATTATTCAAAGGCACGGGTGAACAGAATACGCCGTGGAAACGAACGTATTGCAAGTACCACGGATGCCGGGCACCGTCATCCTCATTCTAAGCTACATCCTAACCGCTTTGCAACCCCCCGCTGACTGAACGCCTTTTTTTCGATACCGATTATTGCGCCGATCGCACGTTCCTGATAATAAACTAGTTGGCTAGGATAGGCGCTTTGATGTGGTACAAACGCGTGGGAACGCCTTCCAGTTACGTCCGAGGAGGCTTTTCTTTTCATTCATTCCCACGTTTCCGCAACGGTGAATTGACGAATATTTCGGTATCGGACAATCTGCAATCTATCACGAATATTTTCTACGGAAGTAATATTCTTCGACGGGTATGCATGTACATACATATGTATATATATATATATATACTTTCGAATAAATTGTTCCTCATCCCGTGAGAATCGATCCGAACGCAGGCCTTGATTCACAGAGTTCGATGGAAAAAAATAAAAAAAAGTAGACCATGGACGTTAGCAATCGCAAATATGAAAATTAGAAATATAAACACATCGCCCCAGCACCTGGTTCACCGGCGAGATGTGTATACGGAAATTCACGGTAGGCAATGTACACGTAAAATATGAAACGCGGGTAGCGTGTAGGATTGGTGTGATACCGGTGCAACAACTTTCTAGAGTGTAGTAGAGCCAAAAAAGAGCAACCGACACCGATGACGGTGGGTGAACACACCAGCTACCTGCCGACTTGGTTGGAAACGATTTCTTTGAGAATATCCAGACGTTACGTAATCGGGCCGCGATTGTGCATATTCAGCGTTTACAATGCGAGACGGTCAGAATCGATTTCATAGAGAATTACTCGCCGGTATGTCGACGGGGGCCACGAGGCTGTGCACAAGCAAACCGGGCATACCTGGCTGTCCGCGATTTTTCTGACCCGCGATGATTCGATTTGCGTGACGCAATGCTCGCGCGCGGCAGAATCTCCTCGCGCGCTGATTTTTCAGGTCTCCTAACCTAAGCCACGATACAACACCCGCTTGCTTTCACGCGCGATCGAAGCCACTCGTTTCGAGATCACCCTTTCCCCCCCCCCCCCTCTTCCCTGTTACCGGTGACTTTTATCAGTCCCTGTGTTGGATAATTGCACAATTAGTTCAGAAAATTTCGAAATCTGTAAGGTTTTTTTTTAGATGTATGTAAGATTTCGTTTCTTTGAGAAAAAGAAATAATAGAACTATCGCTATAATTCACTGTATAAGCGAACAGTGGGAGAATTGGTTCGATATCGGGTTCATTTCGTTAGTGATCATTCAATGATAAGGCAAAGAAAGTGTTGTATTTGGAACATTGTATAAGGACGGTAGTTATCGCGTCCGTAATTATTATTTTGTACAATCGAATAATTCGTTCCAGCGGGTCAACGCTAAGATGAACACCAATGAATGAAATATACTCGTTAGAATCCCGTAATTCTGTTGATGGATTTTCTTCTGGGATGTGTCCCTTCTGGAAAATGCCAGTCCGTCATCTCTTCCACGCGGCGATCGATTATTGATTAATCGAGTTGTTGACATCACGTTTGCTTCATCGAATGATTCTTCCATGCGAATGGGCAGAACGCGTAGGTAGAACCAAGGTATACTTAGGGCAAGGACACAGGAGCTTCCTTTGAGGCACACTTCCTCCTTTATATAATACGATTACGAGGTAAAACTAAGTTTAAAGTACTGTCGATACGAGTCTTCGTGATGGTTGCCTCGTCATCGTCGGCCCGCGGGCTACTCGTTCAGTTCTCCAAGAAGGACACGAATTGCGTGAGTTTATACAGCTGATCTTCGGTAAGGCAGATGTCGCTGTCGAGCATACGCTCATCTTTATCCATCTTGCACGGCTGCACCATCGTTCCATCGATAGTCCAACCTTTTCCGACGGCGGCCTGACGCGCTTCTTCCAGTGTTAGTCCAGTCATCGATGCGAACACAGTCAATCCCAACGACGAGTATGCCTTGGATATTAACTTTATCGCCCTTTCCCGAACGTTATCTGAAAGAATCGGTACAAATTGATCCACCGACGTGGTCGCATCGAGTCTGAGGTAGTTTTACATCCCTCAGACTTAACAGAGTTGGGCACGTTTCACCGAAGACGATAAAAAAAACTGGTATAAAGTAATGGAAGATAACTTTGTCGAGGTATATACTCAAGCGATCAAAACACTTGGAAGGTATTTTAATAATTTACATGTCTACCAAGTCCACAATGCTTTAGGAAAGAAACAGAACTCTTGATGCCCAAGTCTGTTTTAACATACGATTTGAATGTCATAATTGAGAGCAGCCCTTGTAAGCATCTTCCAATCAAATATTCCTCTTAATTCCATCGCCATTTCTTAACGTTCTGCGATACCTTTCACGCGAATTTCGGGATTTGAACTGAAATTTTAACACAGCTATTATAGCGATGCTACTCTTAATGTAGAGATACCTGCAACGGTGCTTCCTACTATGGACAAGAGAAATCCTTTGTGGTTCTGTTACATAACTGCAGACACCCAGCATATTACGCGACATATACCTTTTAGAGCAGCCATGATGTCGGAAACATCTTCGCTCCACTCTGCGTTGAGGGCAACGTGAACCGCGGCCCAGTCCCGTTGCCACATACGCTGCCCTACCATCCATATTTGCTTGAGTTCCGTACATCCGGTTTTCACGTCCACTGGTATCCGCTTCCATAGGTACTTGGCGTTGCATCTGCGATGCCGAGATTTCGATCAAATCAACAGAGATCGAAATCTCATTCGTACAGGAATTTCATGGTAGGAATTTTCGTGACGAAGGAATTATAAGAGGAATTACGAAATCAAACGTTCGTTTAAAGGTTCGTACGGTGAACAGGACCGAATCAGTTTACACGTTTAAATTACATCAGCCATTCCAGTGAATCCATAAAACGAAAGGTGAAACAAAAAGGTAGAACGTGAAGGTAACGTTTTCATTTCGCTAACCCATAAAGACGAATGCATAGCGACGTCGTTAATTAACAATAAATGAAGTACAACGAAGCGCAGAGTGTAATAAATATAATGGCGTGACTGACAGAGCTTGCGATAAATTACGTGGTATACGCGTTATACGTAAACGCGATAAAAAGCGGCATGCAACTTAACTGTAAATCAACGGTGTGACGCAATGGATAGACGGTCGCGTGATAAAAAATCACTGCACCCACAAAAATAGTTACAACGCATAATTTCATCCATAAAATCCACAATTAGTTACGAGTCGAACACTTTTCCAACAAAATATAAACCGCAGTCTGAAGAAAAAACGTGATACAATTGACGCGGTTGGTTTCTCTTTCAAATTTCGCGCCATTCGTTCGAAGTACAAAAAAACGATACGCCAAGTACGTTTAAGTTTGATTAAAAAATGTAATATATGTTATACTTACGTATTAATTAATGAAAAAGATATACTTCCAACAATTTATCATTAAACGGTATTAATATATTTCACTAAAGTTCTGTAAGTATAAGCTCTGAACTTATGGATAGTGTTTGCACAATTACCACAAACGATCATTTTGTCACAAAAATAGTAAAACGAAATTGTATCATAAGTGTGCAACAGAAAATATTACCTAACTGCTGTCGTTAAAGCATTGTATACGATATAACCATATATCAAAGATAAATGTATATAAAAACTTACAAATCATTCTGGTAAAGATATACAGCTAATAATTGAGCATAAGTCCGTGCCGTTGCAATCCCACCAGGAGCCTATAAAGAAATAAGTATTTTTTTAAAACTATGTTTCAAATTATGTACTATTAATGTAAAAAAGTGAGTGCAACATTCGGCATAACCTATGTTTGCGAATGCTCGAACAGCATACCTCCAATTCAGCTTTCTCTAGCTCGCGACAAAATTTATCCACTTCGTTCAGTACCATGACGGGATTTCGTTATTTCTCGGCGAAAAAAACGACTTAGAAGTAATTGTGTTAACAATACGCGCCAACATTGAAACAAGGAACGTCAAACGAGAAGTCTAAACAGCTGAGGACTAAATACACGACACACACCATACATACTGAGGGACGGGAATGGACGTGAGTGGACGGGACGGGAGTTAAAACGTCGTAGATGGAGCCACTAAGTAGCGCTTCCTTCGAAATCTTAATATGTTAAAATCTTAATATACCGTTTAGTTTTGGGAGGTACTGAAATTTATGCCAAATTATCACTCAATTTCACATTTATTTCAGTGCTTGAAATAAACTTACCAAGTGGTAGGAGGCCCTTCTCCTACGTCACTTTTTCCCCTAGTGGAAGCCGAGTTTTCTCGTGAGGGTCACTGGGCAACGTCAAGCACACCTCGTTTACTTCATATTTGGACAGTTCTCACGGCGTTATATGGACTGCATTCGTCTTGACGAGGCACTCGACGTGTAGCGTAAAGAACGTAGATTAATCCCCTGTCATTGGCAATAACAATAAACGAACAGAACACTGTTAAAATCGTATTTAATCGCGGAGTACCACTACTTTTTTGAATGGTGGCGCCACCCGTGGCAATTCGCTCAAACTGCTAGCGAAATCATATCGACAGGTGAATGAAAATTTCTAGTGATGGAAAAATGCGAATATCTCAGTAATTAAACATTCAAAATGAACGCCGTTAGTCTTACATTATTTCTAAGGGCTTAATACATCGACCCAATACAGCAAAACCCCAGAATTAGTAAAGATATTTATACTGTATTAACGTCGACCCTTATGGAGCGGCAACCCAAATTGCACCTGGTTTCGTTTGCAGTTACACCGCTGAACGGTCATCATCCAGTCTACTGCTTTCATATTTTACAATGTATAATGTATACATATATTAATATATAAACGTAGTAATTATAGGAACAATTACTCTTCTCGATGTGAATAGGTGTTTTGTAGTAGCGGCATTCTATAATCCGTTGCTGGTGTCAATATTTCTATTGTCACGACTGTCACCGTTTTAATGTTATTAGTGACCATCAGTGACCATGTAGAGGCAAACAACCATTGCATAGGATATTCACATTATCGTAGAAAATGCATATCAGTATGATGAATACTTAGTTGTTACGGACGTTGCTTTCGTATTTCGGTTCCACCGGCGAAGTGACATAAGACATGGCTACCGTTAAAGTAACCGAGCAGAAAGTTATTCTGTGCGGGGAATATGGAGTCGGAAAGACATCTATATTTAGACGTTTTTCAAACAATACTTTTGTAGCAAGCAACGATCGAAAATCGACGCTGGGTCTCGACAATATTGACAAAGAATACGTTGTTGAAGATCGGCACATACGGGTAACGTATCTGTGTATGTGACACCAATCCTTGAAGTTAGATTAATATTCTTATCTGCCATAAATAACCAGTATGTGGGTGAAAGATTGTTATGTAACAAAACTTTATTTATTTTAACCACATAATGAATCAATTACAAAATTTTATTTACATAATTGTTTAATGCTTTAGTTGCAATTATGGGATACCGGTGGTATGGAAAGGGTTGCATCTGTAACATCAAGTTACTACAAATTTGCTGAAGCAGCTATTTTAGTGTTTGCATTAGACAACTCCACATCTTTCCACCTTTTATCTCAGCATTTATTGGATATTGTAACATATGCTGAAAATGCAAAGATATTCCTTTGTGGCAACAAAAGTGATCTAGAAAGTGTGGGACCACAAGTTACAGATGCAGAAATGGAACAATTTTGGTAAATTTGATCAAAATTTAGCTGTTGACATTAACACACAATGCAATTCTATAATAATTAACTATGTATTCTCAATTACAGTGAACAATGCCACAACTTAATATCTGGTATATATAAAACATCATGTAAAACTGGAGAAGGAATACATGAAATGTTTGAGGACATAGCTCAACATTTGGTTGAAGCTAACAGATCGCGCATGGAACTGCATGAAATGGACAAGGACAGATTTAAGATTTCTTACATGGATGAAGCTGCTGATCCATCTTGCTTATGTTAAGCAGTTAGCAATAGATGATGCTTATCAACAATGTTTTTATAACTTGAAAAATTCAACACACAATAATACAGTAGGAGGAGTAAGGGTACCTTTTATGTATCAAGTAATTCTTAAGAACGATTTTTCTGTGAAGGGAAGTATTATGAAGCATAAGGTGAGGGTAGAGAGGGAATATTAACATGAAATTTATACACAATTACGGTAAATTTTAAACTTTCCACAAGGAAACAAGTTTAAATAAAAATTTATACTTAATCCATGCTATATACATAATACGAGTCAAGTTTATGTGGTTGAAAGTCCCTAGTGCTGAGTCCATTTGATAGTTTGTAAATCAATTCCCTCTTCAACCATTTCCCACAATGGACTGCAAGAAAAGGAATTCAAATAAGTATTAGTTTTTAAGTATAGCGACTAATATGTTATGTTAATACTCAATATCGAAAAGTAACAAACGTCCAAAATTGTTCCCTCCGTTTATTATGACTATCGTACTTTTACCGTTCACGGCCAAATATACAACAATAAAATATAATAATTCTGCTTTAAGTAAATACTTATATTGTAACAAAACGTACCTCATTTCCCGAAGCCTTTTTACATGCCGGATCGTATTTTCCGCGGTGAAGTCCACCTCCTCGATCGTCGTGAAACGACCGATACCAAATCTATACAAACGAATAAAGTAAACTCCGGAACAGTACGTATACATTATTTGATATTGTACAACAAATGTAACTTGCCTAATGCTGGAATGTGCTAGATCTTCCGACGCACCAATTGCTCTTAATACATAACTAGGCTCCAAACTAGCGCTAGTACAAGCGGAACCACTGCTCAAGGCAACGTCTTTCAGTGCCATTAACAGAGATTCACCTTCCACATATGCAAAGGATAAATTCACACATCCAGGATACCAATAAACAGCATCCCCATTACGTATAACATGTGGCAAATTTGACATTATTTTTTTAATTAAATGGTTGGAGAGCATTGTGATATATTTGTGATCATACTAAAAAATATACAAAATTTTATATCTAGTATGTGATAAAATATGTAATATCTCTAATTACACTTACTTCCATTTCTGATTGTGCCAACTCACAAGCTGCTCCAAGACCTACAGCTAAAGGTGCTGGAACAGTACCACTCCTCATACCTCTCTCTTGGCCACCGCCACTTTGCAATGCTTCAACACGAACTCTTGGCCTTCTCCTCACATATAAAGCTCCAATTCCTTAAAATTCCACACATTAAATAGGAAATATATAGTGGGAAATAATTTGTGACTTTTAATATTACCTTTAGGGCCATATATCTTATGACCACTAATTGACATTAAATCAATATTCATAGCATTAACGTCAATTGGAACTTTTCCAACAGCTTGAGCTGCATCTGTATGAAAAAATACCTTCCTTTTCCTGTAAAATGAATCTATTACATACAAAAGTGATTTTCATTGTGACCACTAACATTGAACACTAATATATTTTGCTTCACCTGCAAATAGCACCAATCTCTGCAATAGGTTGTTTCACACCAATTTCATTATTTACCATCATTACAGACACTAGAGAAGTCTCAGGTTTAATTGCAGCTTCTAATTCATTGAGATCAATGAGACCATTGGGTTTCACTGGCAGATAAGTCACTTTAAATCCTTCTGCCTGTAAAGCTCTACAGGAATCTAATACACACTTGTGCTCCTGTATGAATAAAACCATATACAAATACAGTCATGACAACACACGCAGTATTCTGTTTACATTAAAAAAAGTTGTTAACATACTGTCTGCGTTGTCACAATATGATTCTTTTTTCCTTTGTAAAATCTTGCCACCCCCTTTACAGCTATGTTATTACATTCTGTTGCACCAGATGTAAATATTATTTCCTTCGTATCTGCACCAATTAAATTAGCCACTTGCTGTTGTAAATAAAATATTAGATCAGTATTTTTCTAACTTATAGCTTGCATCAATAAATGTAACAGATCAAAGTTATATGAAACTAACATTACGAGCAAGTTCCACAGCTGTTTCTGTTTCCCATCCATACATATGAGTTCTGGAATGCGGATTCCCATAAAAGGATGTAAAATAAGGCATCATTTTATCCAATACACGTGGGTCCTATGGATAAATTACAGAAGAAGTTAAATTTTCACCTTGAAAATGAGGAAGTTATTTTGTCATGATATAGATACCAATTGTGTAGTTGCTTGTGCGTCCAAATAAAGGGCCCTGCCTTCAGCAGGTCCCCTTTTGTACTCATCAGTAATAACAGCTGCAATTAAATGATGCTTTTAGATATAAAAATCTGGGAAACATTATAGACTTTAACACATAACACTATTACAATAGGCAATACTTACATTGATATTCTGTGATTTCTGCTAAATTCTGACAACTAGTTTGCACCGCACGACATTCTTTGATGCGATTTAATGCCACTAATAGGCTTCTTGCCGGTCGAAACATTTTAATTTTTATGGAAACACGGATACATTTAAATTATCCCATGCAGTTCAGACCGGAACATGTTCTAACCATAAGTAACCTAAGTAAATAATATTATGTTCAATTCTATTTCCAACTTTCATCCAAATATCTTCAAGACTATCTATACAACTATAAATATCAGAGTTTGTTCCTTTTCCGATGACGCTAAATAAGATTTATTTAATACTATTTAACGGAGATCTAATAGTCTATCAACTACTGATTTAGATACTATGTACGATGCAGTACGACGTTTCAAACTCAGCCAACTATCGGCGAAAATGATGCAACTCTGTTTCACAATTATCTCTTTGTATATCCTACAAATATGTATATACGTTGTATACTTCGTTGAAAATGGTGATTGGTAAATGAAAGTCAGTATAAAAAATGTTTCTTTATTAAGTACACTATAGATATATATATATATATATATATATGTCAAAATTACTAATTTGTATTCCTCCAAAGTTAAACAAAATAACTTAATCACGCAGAAAACATGGCGCCAGTAGTAAACATAAATGTACAAATCACGTTGAATACGTTTATATAATAGATAGTTAATCTCAGACATACGATACAACATACAAACGTATAGAAATAATCACAATTGCAAAATACTGATTATTACGGTGAATCTATTGGCGATCCTTCGATAAGTTTAGCGAATCGACAATATCGCTGGATTGGGATTGTTGCTTCTTATGCAATGTCGTCATGTCTAACATTCCACCAAAATCTGACTTAACGTTTGAGATCGACAGATCTTCGGTTCCTTGATACTCATTTGATCTATTCAATTTAGTATTATCGTTTTGTATATCCAGTTTCTTTCGATCGGTTGAATAATCTTCAGGAAAATTCCTACAAGATTCCGAAGAATTAGAAGCCGATTTAAATGGCGACTGAATGGAGTCCACTATTGTGAAATCGCTTGGTTTACGTTCGTTTCCTTCAATGTCTCTCGCAGGAGAAATTTTACCAATTGGTCCAAATAAATTTGCAATATTACGCATATACGTAGATGGCGAAGGCGACGATGTTCTTGTAAAATCTGCAATGGAAAAGCCGGAAAGCTTCGCTAGATCTGCAGTAGAAAAATTTGCCAACTTCGTTAAGTCCGAGAACTTCGAAATTTGTTGAGTTATGTCCGCTAAAGGAAAATCGGGCGTTGTAGATGAACGTGTTTTATTAACACCATTATCTGTCCCGAGAGGATTCGGCATCTTGGAAAAATCAGCTGGTGGAAAATCGTAGTCACATTTCGTATTCTTTACAGAGACAGTCAATTCTCCAGACTGAAAGCTGGGCATTACTTCCGTGGGCGATATGTGTTGCTTAGATGTTGTAGAATTTCCATCTTTGATCTGTGTGATTGATGCAGAATCTGTAGTTACGATACTATCTTTTTTAATACTATCTCTAGAAGTGGATGGCTGCATTACAAAAGGCTTAGATGTGGGAGTAATTATTGCACTATCAGGTTTAAAGTTCACAGGAGTAAGGAAGACAGCTGCATTATTGGGTGCAAGTCCAACTCCTGGTGGAACTGAAGGAATAAGTGATTCTGAGACTGGTACCAGTGGAAATTTCACAGCAAGAAATTCTGGGCAAGTTTCATCTTCAGAACCAGGACAAATCATTTCTCTAATTACATCCCAATAAGAACCATTCGATCTATTTCGTCCCGGTAATTTTGACGCGAGAGAACACTGTTAATATAAATATGGTTTAGTATACATGGTATAACTTGAACATTATTTATTATATACCTACCCTCAAACGTTCAAGATATGTTGTATTGTTGTTAAAATTGGCAGTAAAATCAATACCTCCCTCACTTCTATAATATTCTATACATCTTCTCTGTAATAATGGACATAGCACTATATTGTGTGATCTATTGTGACACTTACAATAATTGTATACTTACTATTTCTTCTAATGTGTCTTGAGAAAGAAAGTGTTCTTGAGATAATGTGTAACTTAACAGCATTGGCCTTGGATATTCATGAGGTCGATTTTCAGGGGGTGGCAAAGACCAAAAAACATTGAAGTTAGATTCATAGCAACTGCCATCAGTGTTGTAAGGAGCTGAAACCAAGCATATTACTTTTCAATCTATGTAAACTTACAATAGAATAAACATACTTACAACATATTAATCCTACGCATGGAGTGTATCCATTATCACTAGGCCCTTTCATTTTAATCTGATAATCTAACTGAGAGTCAACATCTCTGAGTGACGGAGATGCATGAGACCTAGGGTGAGAATGATACCATCCAACTAGAGTGACCCGCTTCCATTCCATAGCTCTTGCAATTTCAGCCTCAACTGCAGCTGCAGCTGATTTGTCTTTACCAGAATACCGGCATGGAAAGGCAGTTGATATTGACAAATCTATAATTAAAAAAAGTTCATTTCTTACTTTTTATAAAAACATATTTATATAATATCTTATGGATACACTTACTATGTGAATTAATATCCCAGTGACCACCAAGATAGCCACAAACTTCTTTATCTGTTAAATGGCAATGTAAGTCTACTAGCAAAGCAGCAGTAGTTGTTATTGTAACTAAAAAAGGTTGTATCTTCCCAAGTGTACTAAAGGAAGTAAGTTCTACCATTGTACTCATGTCCCTGCAACATACATAGTCATTAATATATTTTACAAAATATTTACTTTTTACATTCTCTTACATAGCATGGCTTCTTATTCCAAGATTTGCATGCTTCACTGGTACCCGTACTACTTGCATTGGAGGACTAGTTTGGACCTTCTCAGGACTTTCTTCCATAGGCTCTGTGCTTATTTCCATTTTTTGTTTTTTATAAGTTAATATTTAAATTAGTAGATATAATAGACAATAATTATTTTATTAATATCAAACCATAACTGACAATTATAAAATACACTACATTTCATGATGATAATAGGTATACTTTAACTAAGCAGTGGAAGAAAAATGTAAATACTGCAAGTTAATCATAATTCTGTATACTATCATATATTATGCATTATTGAAAAGTATTTTCTCACTGTAAGGCTGTAAGGTAGTTTTACCATAAACAAGGTACATGTAAAAGTAGACTTATCACCCTACGGACTACGTGGACCAAGGAATCTGCAGTACCGACCCTTATAAAGACTGTGATTCTAAAGGCCTCTACTTTGCAATAACGTTGAATTTAGGAGTTATATTCGACCCAATCCGAGTTCAACTAGTCAAATTTCTGCAGAAATACCAAATCTACCTTTTCTTTCATTCAACGGGGGAAAGTTTTAATCTATTATATATTTAATTGGCAACATCACTCGGACATTTCATCAAGTTTGGCGCTATTGTCGAGTTGAGGGGCTATAGTCGCCACAGATGGCGTTTAGGAACTCATCGGCAGTTTGAAAACTTCGAGACAATGGTATTAAAAACAACGTGTAACATCGTACACTAACGTTAGCCATCTAAAACGAATTGAAATAATAAATTTTCGGGGATAGGTCAGGATATGTACGCAGTTGAATTCTCTTGTTAATCGTAGAGTATATTAATAGTTGGTGCTGAATATATTGGAATGCGAGTTTTCTAAAATTGATCAACCAGGGCACAAAACATGCGGCTCTGGTATTGTTTATAACCAAAGGACTCCTGCGAAATTTCTGTAGCATCGTTTTTGTGCCTCCGTTTTTCTGTTTTATGAGTAACATTCCTCGCTGAATTAATTTCGGGTGCATGCATAAGAAACATGAATTGGAATATGCGGTAGTGCATATTCTATTTCGTTGAAATAGGAAGTGGAGTGGGGAGGGATGGTCGATCTTCAACAATCGAACCACCAATCACGAATTTCGTAATATACCGAATCAAACGATATTAGCCAGTCACGGACAGCCTAAGGGTCACTCGTCTCGGGGAAGTTGAAGTGATTAGACGTGAGGTGGTATCGCTCTTGCTGAAGTAAGTTATCATTACCTTTTACTTCTAGTCATTTCTATTATTAGTACTTTTGTTAGCTCACCATCGTTACTTTCGTTTAATATTTACTCAATTCAGTATAAATAATCGTAAATTCATTCGATATTGCTGTTCAAAGTGAAGCGGTATTCGCGACTTCTGTTCTCTCCCTGATACCAATTCGTATTTACGCAGTTTTTGTTTAATTTGCAATCTTCGGCGACACTCTTCGAGTCAATAATTGTTTATTTTATGATGTAACCATTCTTGATTCAATTTAACTGCATGGAATGAATGTTTATTTTCTGTTTCAGAATTTCGGTTGGAAAGAACGCGCTACCTACGCAATGGCCGTTGACTGTCTCTGTTCAGACGTAATTTGGCGGGAAATTGGTGAACTCTGGCAATTTTTTGTAACAAGTAGGTGACATTCCACTATATATTCTTATTTTGTCGTGCTTTTTGTTTCCAACTGAGAGTATCGTGATTTCGTTAGTTATTATGCAAAGATCGAACGAAAATTCTTTCGATAAATATTTTAAATTTAATTGCGCATTTGAACCATTCAAGATGGCTTCCTCGGACTTTGCAAGGTTTAAACGACAGTACTTCTACACATTCAAATCTGAAATACTCGCAATTTACTGTATCCCAGTCGCGAAATCGTTTAAATATTACTAATTTTACGAGTCTATTTTTGAGTGACATTCCTTGCTGAGTTAATTTCGGGTGCACATAAGACAAATGTATTGGAATATGTATAATACGGTAGTGCATATTCTATTTCGTTGAAATAGGAAGTGAAGTGGGGAGGAAAAGCTCCAATCTTCACCAAGCGAACCACCAATCACGAACCTCGTAATGTAACGAATCAAACGGTCTTAGCCAGTTGCGGACATCCTAAGGGTCATTCGTATCGGGGAAGTTAAAGTGATTAGACGTGAAGTGCTCTCGCTCTTGCTGAAGTACGTTATCTTTACCTTTCACTTCTAGTCATTTATATTATTAGTACCTTTGTTAGCTCACCATCGTTACTTTCGTTTAATATTTACTCAATTCAGTATAAATAATCGTAAATTCATTCGATATTGCGGTCGAAAGTGAAGCGGTATTCGCGGTTTCTGTTCTCTCTCTGATACCAATTCGTATTTACGCAGTTTTTATTTAATTTGCAATCTTCGGCGACACTCTTCGCGTCAATAATTGTTTATTTTATAATGTAATCATTCTTAATTCAATTTAACTGCATGGAATGAATGTTTATTTTCTGTTTCAGAATTTCGGTTGGAAAGAACGCGCCACCCACGCAATGGCCGTTGACTGTCCGTTCATACGTAATTTGGCGGGAAATTGGTGAACTCCGGCAATTTGTTGTAACAAGTAGGTGACACTCCACTATATATTCTTATTTTATCGTGCATTTTGTTTCAATCGAGAGCATGATCGTGATTTCGTTAGTTATTATGCTAAGATCGAACGAAAATTCTTTCGATGAATATTTTAAATTCAAATGCGCATTTCAACAATTCAAGATGGCTGCCTCGGACTTTACAAAGTTTAAACGACAGTACTTCTATACATTCAATTTTGAAATACTCGCTATTTATTGTATCCTAGTCGCGAAATCGTTTAAATATTACTAATTTTACGAGTCTATATTTATGAAATCATCGTATTTGCATTTATGTGCAGTTCCGGTAGTAAGTTTGATTATGTAAAAGCTGCGTAATTTATCATACACACTAGAAGCATGAGTAAAAATTGAAAGTTTTATATTTGTAATGTTTTGAATATTTATGAAATTCGGAAACTGGTTTAGACAGAAACAACGAACATGCTTACAACTCTAACAACTTTAGTATAGTATATGTATTAGTAGTAATTATATATGAACAATGAATATTATATGTTTATGAATGTAGTAACTATTCTGTAATACTTTAATACTGAATATTTTTTAACTATTGCATAGTTAAGCTGATATTTGCACATTTAACTTCATATTTATCATTCAAACACTTACTTATATTTACTCCACTCAATTGAAGCAGTTAGAAATTTGAAAAGAGATAATAACACATTCTGTTCCCTTTTTTTCAGATTAATTACATATTTTATCACTGAATACTCAAAAAGATGTCCTTAGGCAAAGCTTGCATTCTTCACATATTTCTCCACTGAACACTTAAGGAGATGTCCTTGGGCAGAGCTCCACCATCATGGAATGTAAGAATCTTTATATTTTATTACTTATATTATGTAGTCAACATAGCCAGAACTTTGAGAAGAGATAATAATACATTTTGTTCCCGTTTTTTCAGATTAATCACATAATTTGTCACTGAATACTCAAGAAGATGACCTTAGGCAAAGCTTGCATTCATCACATATTTTACCACTGAACACTTAAGAAGATGTCCTTGGGCAGAGCTCCACCATCATGGAATGTAAGTATCTTTACATTCTATTACTTATGTTTTGCAATCAACATAGCCATAATTTTGAGAAGAGATAACACATTTTGTTCCCGTTTTTTCAGATTAATCACATAATTTGTCACTGAATACTCAAGAAGATGACCTTAGGCAAAGTTTGCATTCATCACATATTTCACTACTGAACACTTAAGAAGATGTCCTTGGGCAGATTTCCACCATCATGGAATGTAAGTATCTTTATATTTTATTACTTATATTATGCAGTCAACATAACCAGAACTTTGAGAAGAGATAATAACACATTTTGTTCCCGTTTTTTCAGATTAATCACATAATATGTCACTGAATACTCAAGAAGATGACCTTAGGCAAAGCTTGCATTCATCACATATTTCACCACTGAACACTTAAGAAGATGTCCTTGGGCAGAGCTCCACCATCATGGAATGTAAGTATCTTTACATTCTATTACTTATATTATGTAGTCAACATAGCCAGAACTTTGAGAAGAGATAATAACACCTTTTGTTCCCGTTTTTTCAGATTAATCACATAATTTGTCACTGATTACTCAAGCAGATGACCTTAGGCAAAGCTTGCATTCTTCACATATTTCTCCACTGAACACTTAAGGAGATGTCCTTGGGCAGAGCTCCACCATCATGGAATGTAAGAATCTTTATATTTTATTACTTATATTATGCAGTCAACATAGCCAGAACTTTGAGAAGAGATAATAACACATTTTGTTCCCGTTTTTTCAGATTAATCACATAATTTGTCACTGAATACTCAAGAAGATGATCTTAGGCTAAGCTTGCATTCATCACATATTTCACCACTGAACACTTAAGAAGATGTCCTTGGGCAGAGCTCCACCATCATGGAATGTACGTATCTTTATATTTTATTACTTACATTTTGCAGTCAACATAGCTGGAACTTTGAGAAGAGATTCTAATGTATTTTGTTCCTTTTCTCAGATTCTTCTCGAAGGCACGAGATTCTTCCCATATTCGGAGCCCTTCTATCATCGGGTGAGTCGCATGCTTTTTGTTCCTCTGGTCCCCAATCATGCCGTAGGATGATAGGTCCGAAGCGGCACGGGCGACTGGTTGTATACGTGCTTTTGGCGAATACAGTGAACGCGGATATGCAATCATATCCGCGAGTAATAACATATTGATCTGTTGTGTTCCTTAGCTAAGCTAGGGTCTTCTTGTACGCCATGTTTACAATTAGTAATGCAATTCATAAATATTTTATATTAAAAGTATATTTATGAGTCCAATTTTAATAATTTGTAAGTTATTGATATAGAGGTGAATGTGATGCAAACTAAGTCACATTTCTTACTTATAATTTCTATCTCGTCGTCTGGTATCATTTATGAATGTAGAATAAAATACGATTTACATAACGAAAATTACTTAATATAGAAAATACAATAAATTCACAGTAGTCTACAACTACAGTCAGCTGGTACAAAAATAGTATTGAACTCATTAATGTGTAAAAGAAATGTAGACGATAGATTTGAATATAGAGTAGAAAAAACGGAACCATACCGGTATGTTTAAAATAAAGGGGAAAACATAGTGGTACCTTCTTAGATGAGCATGTTGTAGCAGTTAGCGCAATACCACGAGACGCGACAGCACGTTTCAAATCCCGGAACCAGTGTCGCGAGACACAAAGGTATCAATCGTATTTGCAAGTTCCATGAAATAGTGGAACACGTGTACTGGGAATCGCAATAAAGTATCGGTGCATAAAAAGAAGACGTATTAAGTTATGTCACCTGTGCATCGATATGCACGCCCTAGTGAAAAACCGCGTGGTATGGAATAATTTAACACGTTGTGCATGTATTACCATTGAAAAGTGCATTGCGATTTGCAGTTATCGTGGCCGGTGTTTTCGACGCCAATGGCAAAGAACACATTCGGTCACGTACACGGGTAGAGTATCGAAACGTACTGGCGTGTACTCACGACCATTTTAATGGAGTGTGAGCGTTAAATGCAGGGAAGGTACTACTGTGTTTCACGAGCATGTATAGTGTTCCATAAACATGTTGGTATGGTAGACCTATGTGTATACTCAGAAGGAATGAGTATTCTGTCTTTTCTAAAGGGCAGAGCAGAGGTGTCAATCTATTGCTTATGAGCAGCATTCTTTCCCTCTGGAGGTACCCTCATTATGGGTCTTAGTTTGACTCGTTCAAGTCAATCTGAGGTCGGTAGTGGAGGAAACCCACGAGGGGAGGCTCGAACAGCTTGTGGCTTGTGAGCGACATTTGGACACCTCTGTCATCAATTATATTTTTATGATAGTTACTTGTTGCATATTAAGATAATTTCATTTTACCCATCAGTGTGTTAATTATTATTTTCAACAGTTGTACTGTCACTTGTAGACAAATAAGAAAATGACTGGAAGTTGAATGTATTTACTAATGTAATTAGTAATACTATTTTTTACTATTACTATTTACTAATTTGATTTATAAATGCAGGATTTAATATGATACCAGACTATTGCAAAGATGTTTAAGATTAATACTTGTGACGAATATATATTATCAAATTAACTATGCGTATTGAATTATATCAGAAATACGTACTTTCACGTTTCTCAAAGATAGTTTTAAAAATTAAATAGTGCATTTTGATATACATAGATTGAGTTAGAGCGTAACGTTCTGGACAAATGTGATATTACAGACCATGTACAAGAAGGCATTTCGCGACGGGTAGATTTCTGAGTCAAAGTGACTTGATTTGTTACATTTATGTTATCTGTCTTACATTGACTTTGACGACGGAATCGCCCGAGGGTTGTTCAATGTATAGAGTATAATATCTTATTATATAATCATGATGTAGAGTCTTTGTCGTTAAAAATGAATTTACATTAGAATCTTCTTACTTGTTAATACAAAGTCGAGTCATGGTTGTTGCGAATGAAGTGAAAACCAATGAGAATACATTAGACCGTTAGTAGAGCAGAAACTAATAATTGTTTTAGTCAGGATTTTCAGGATATTTATTCCGTGTTCGTTGCTCAAACCCTTTCACGTGCCCAGGTGCTACTTGATTGGGCGAGAGCAACGGGGAACGATGATTTGATTTCATATATAATAACAATAACATGTGTATGCGACTGGCAATGCGTTAACTTACCGTGCACGACGTATTTTCCACTTGTGTGTGTGTGGTTGTTAGGCAGTGGAATTGCGTCGGTTATATTTCTATCAATTAACATTTCATTTGTAGTTGTTCTTTGGAACAATTTCTTACAACTCCGGTATCGGTCGTACATATACCTTTGCTTTATACAATGTCTATAATAAAATTTCCATGGAATATGTACCGGTTTAGAGTACCTCGCTATCAGACGAGGAAATTAACACGTAATCGATATAAAGTATACCAAGTATACGTATAGTGCTCAAACAATTTTTCTATTCTCGCAATGGACGCTAGCCTTTGCCAGTCGATTTCAGGAAAATGGTACGTACTTATTAGAGTGTGCAAGTTGAATATCGCGCTCGGGTGTCGGAGACGTCCCGGGACGTTCTCCCTAGGTGTTAGGCTAATTTGCACCCGGGCGTATGCTTGAGAACCGTGGAGTGTTGTGTCTTGGTGAGAATCTGTCTTTTGCTAAATTCTTGTTAAATTTCGGCCTAGGTAGGTAGGTAGCATATTTTCTGGTGTGTGAATGTCCGATTAGACTATAAGTAGGTAGGGGCCGGGGCAGGCTATCACATTTTCTGATGGGGTACGCGCTGATAGGTTTCGCGTGATAGTCCTGCTACCGGGATAATTTGTAGTGTCGAATCGAAGCTGGTCCAGGCGGAGTATGCCGTCTGCTTCCGGTTTCGATTTCGATTCTTCAAATTTGTCGAATAGTTGTGTCGCGGTCGCGGTCGGAAAAATAGGATTATCGAAACGAACGAACTGCTCGATTGCACTCGTGGGGATCATACAGACTCTTGGAGTCGTTGGTCGTCCACAACCGAGCAGCATGAGGGTTTCAGGTGGGCGGACCGCCGAAGAAAAAGAAGAGGCCCAGCACAAACTGTGTACTCAAGAGGGCAGCAACGAATGGCTCTGCATCTTCGGATGTGGAGTCATTACTAAATATTTGTTCACTGTACTCGCCTGTAGTTGTAGTAGTAGTAGTTTGTACATTGGCCGTTATATCGGCCCAACGACCAGCAATATTGGGCTAAATCGCGGATTGAATTAGTGTTGCGGATGAGACTAGATCACGGATTGCATTAGCTTTGTAAATTGTCAATATTAATCTTCGTGTTTGCATTAAGATCATTTTTATATTTTCAGGGTAGTGTTGCGAAAATGAATGAACGCGACTGCTTATACTTTTTATTTAAATTAAAGTCTTGTTGAATTGAACCCTCAACTTTGATTGTTTCAAATAGTCGTTTTTTTTGTTAAATTAGTGTTGCGATATGGATTGATCGGGTTTGTTTTAGTGTTGCGATCGATAAAATGCCCTATGCTGGAACCACAGCAGAACCACAAGGCAGCTGAAAGAGCTGCAAAGAGTGGTTCACGACAGTCCAGGTGGCTGCACTATTTTCATCAACCTAAAGTTAGTGTTGCGTATTATGAAAAGGCGGTGTACGGGAGATTTTTCATTTTTACATTTAGTAAATTAGAGTGGCGGACAAAGCAAACACCTCTCGCGTTTCTTGCGATTCTGGATATTAATTGACAAATGATTAGTGTTGCGAGTGATAAGCGCCTTTGTGGCTGCTCTCAGGATTTTGTCACATCCTATTCAATAAATTAGTGTTGCGGAGAAACGAATGGTCCACTTACGGTTTTTCTTCTGAATAAACGAAATGCAAAGAGTGGACACAGGTTGAGCGCCCTACGAAGCTGCTATTTTTTCATTTGTTTCAGCGCCCTATTGTGGCTGCTATTTTTTCACTTATTTCAGCGCCCTATTGTGGCTGCTATTTTTCACTTATTTCAGCGCCCTATTGTGGCTGCTATTTTTCATTTGTTTCAGCGCCCTATTGTGGCTGCTATTTTTTCACTTATTTCAGCGCCCTATTGTGGCTGCTATTTTTCACTTATTTCAGCGCTCTATTCAATTATGTTCACTTAAATTTCTGTTTCAGGAATCATCCTACAATCTAATTAATGGTTGCCAAATTATTATAAGTTATTAACTGTCTATTGAAATGACATAATCCACTGACTTTTTGTTTCAGGGATCATTCTGGAATTAATCTACTAGTTCATATGAATGAATTATTTACAAACTATAAAAACGTTTCCTTATAATTCTCACAGTTTCTGCTTCAGAGATCATCATATGAAGATTTTTCTTCACGCGAAGATCATCATTCGAAGATTTCCATCATCCAAAGGTGGGGCATACCAGAAAGGAAGAACGATTAATTGATATTGCATGATTATACGAAAAGAATCTCCACGTTAAGTTTACATTGTTCAATATTAATAAAATTGGTGTATTAAGATTCAAGTTAGTTATAATGTCAATTTGTCAAAGGTCGGTAGATGGGGAAAGTCGGGCGGGTTTAAAAAATAATGCTTCGTTTGAACATTAGATTTTGTGTTGCGT